TGTCATTTAAAAAAAGCCCACCACACCAGCCATACCTGGTAATATTTATTTAAAGCTAATTACTGTATTAACACAATTGATCTAAAATCAGAAAAATAGAAAAATCTATTTTTTACTGCAACAACCACAAACGTGTTTAATGAATCATTTTCATAACTTGAAATGCAAATATAAAATGTAAACTTTAAAAACATATGTTGTCTATTGTTTACTGGTCATTTTCTCTGTGTGCTAAGGGCTGATTACTACAGGGCCATTACACGTGATGCTTCACAAAAGTAACGCAGGCCAGTTATTGCAAGTCGCCAGTAACTGAACTGTTTTGCTGTGTTTCAGCGCAATAAACCTTCATGTGCACCTGGATGAACCTTGTCTTCCTTCAGTGTGTAACACATGCAGTCAGGGTCCGCCCGTCCTGCAGAGTTAGACACAAGTCACAAAAGTCTGAACAATTTGAATGATTGGTTGTTGAAATCATTTTACGAAACCGAGTGTGGAAAAGACGCAACATAGAGGCCAGAGGGTCCAGGACTCACCTGGATGACGGTCATCAAACGGATCCGGGTCTGCTTTGTGATACTCTCCCGTCTCTTTCTCAATCAGCTCCGATATTCTGCAGAAAACACACTGATGAGACAGAGTTTCTACTCAAGATGGACCCACAGACTCAGGCAGACTGAGAGGCTCTGACATCACACGTCATCTGCGACGCTAAAAGTTCAAAGAAAAAAAAAAGTCACCTGTTTAAGACGGACACCAGCTGCTCTGTGGGGCCTCTTTGTGCTTCTTCCCATTCGTCGAGCATTCAACGTTAACCGAGCCAATGTCTGGGGTGGTGCCTACCGAGACTTCAGAAGGTCTTCATATAGTCTCAACTCTGGCATGATGGTGAAGTTCTCTGATGACGTGGGAGTGGCTGCAGAGGCAATAGACACAGGTGGGCCTACTTGAGAATTTCTAACCCTTTTCATGGAAGCCATAAAGACAAGAAGAATATTCAAAGGAAAAGACTATGCCAAATATCTCACATTTCATAGTAAAGGTATTATTATTTTTTTCACATTTTTGCCATGTCCAAAATTACTTTATTATGTAATGTCTTTATCTTTAGCTGCAGATGAAAATGAATATTTCTACAGCCTGAAGTGTCTATGATGAATAAAACTGCACAAAAATATTTTTCTCTTTAACTTTATTTAGCTGCACATCTAATACAGCACTGAATAACTGAATTATCTGCCTCTTCCTCTCCTCCTCCTCTTCCTCTCTTCCAGGCAGCAATGTCTTCTGCAGACGAAGAGCAATCGGCGGCCTTGACCTCTGCGTTATTGAGTGCCGTGTCAGCTGCCATGCCGGTTGCCAGTCAAACCCATCTGTTCTCTGATTGGATTGTTAAATTTGTGATTGACATGACATTGGCCAATCAGATGAAAGGAAGAAAAATAGGGTCGAAATTCATACTTGTAACTTGAAACTTGAGAGCAGAGTTTCACACGTAGTTTTTGTCCACACACAAATCTTTTTTACACACACAAATCCTGATTTACAAGTACAAAATATTTATGACCACAATTTGAGCCCATACAGTTGATACTAGAAAGTAATATTAACTCCGTTATTCCCATCACTGGTTGTGAATAAAATCAAATCCATCCAGCAGTCTGGGAACCTCTTTCTGCTTCA